GACAGCTTGTCCGCAAACAAGTTCCGGACAAACGCGCGAGATCCCCAGACCCAAAACGCAGACGCATCGCCAACCTTCCCGGTCCACCGCAAGGCAGGGGAGGTCTCTCGCTAGGAGACCTGGGGCTGAAGGTTGAGCTGATGCGCGGCGTACTGAACCGCAAACGATCATAGAGATTGGGGGGCAGCCACATGTATCATGGACGTACGAGCCACGTTCATGACCATGCCAATGCGTCGCTCAACAATCCGATTTTGCTGTGGAGAGGCTGGAAGCGTAAAGGTCTGGCGGATGCCCGGTGCCCGACAGAAGGCTCCCAGACAGGCGGAGGAGAACTCCCCGCCTCTGTCCGAGTGCAGACGCAGGACAGGAAAGTCTGAGCCAAAACTCTCTTTGAGCTGGAGACGAGCTGCGCGGATCCAGTCGATCAACACCTCAGTGACGTCACCTTTGTTGCGCAAAGGGAAGACTGTGGTGTAGTGCGAGTAGTCATCAACCACCAGCAGGATGTTCCGCTCTCGCCCCTGCCCACTGACGCGGGCTTGGCCCCACACGTCCATGTGGAGAGTCTACAGCGGAGCCTCTGTCAGAGGAAACTCGGAGGAGTGAGGGGCGGCGCGTTGTCACCCCTCAACGCAGGGGACGCAGGTAGGGCCAGGCCCCGGAGGTAGGGGGGGGAGAGACCTAGGGAGACCACAGACAAGGACACGAGAGGCCATGCCTCGGAGACGCAGCAAGGAGGGGTGACCAAGGCGGTGGTGCCAAAGGAGAGTCTGGTGGGACAGCAGACGATACGAGCAGGGAGCAGACTGAGGACCAGACCTGGACGCTGTAGCAAACACCTGACTCGACGCAGCTACCTGGGCAGACTGCGCACGTGGAGGAGACTTAGTAGTAAGGGTGTACAGGCTCGACCCTAGCCGACGGGTAAACGTGGCCAAGTGTTTGCCTGTCCGAGCACACGTGCAGTGGGTCACTCGCTGACTCGCAGGAGTCAACTGGTCAACACCCCTATCCTGTAGGTCCGCTCCATTCACCAAGTTTGTAGAGAACGAAGGGAGCTAGAGACCTGACAGGGTGCCAGAGGGGGCTGCCGTGCACAGTAAGATAGTGGAGAAGCTAGCAAGGACAGGACCCACAAAGGGGTCTGCCAGGGAGACTGCAATTGGCAGACTGAGCGGCGTAAGAGTTGTGCGGTCTCGAAAGAAGGAGCCGGACGCACCCGAGTCAAGGGTGAAGGTGTGTGAGGCCTGAGCCGACGAAGTACCTGAGAGAGCAGACTCACCAGCACCTAGGGCAGCAGACGCACTAGCACCTGAGGTAGCAGACCCACTAGCACCTGGAGCAGCAGCCTCACCAGTACCTAGAGCAGCGGCCTCAATGTCCGGGTCAGGCGGAACACACAGGTAACAGTCACCCGCAACACTAGTATCAAAAGGATACATGGCAGCAAGAATAGCATCAAAGTCAAGACCAAAGATAGCAACCCTGGCCTTAGACAGATCTCCACAGCGAGGAAACTTTGACGCCTCAGGGAACTGGCAATGCCACGCGTCCCTCAGGCGACGGAAGCAGCGCTGGGTGGAGTTCGGACCTCCGCACTGCTCACCGCTCGGTCGCCACCACTCCGCTGCTGCTGGCGCGGACCACCACCTGAGCTACTCCTCTGCGCAGAGTCTCGACCCGCTCCACCGCCGCCGCCGCCACTGCCGCCTCCGCTGCCTCCTCCACCTCCGCCTCCTCCGCCACCTACGCCGCCTCCGCTCCCTCCGCCACCACCGCCGCCTCCTCCGCACCACTGTTGCCACCGAGCGGTGATGGGGCCCCTAGGGTAGGGTGACTGGGCCGCGGGTGACGGCGACACGGCTGTAAGTGGCGGCGGGGCCGCAGGCGGCGGCGACTGGGCCGCAAAGGGGGGGCCTAGACGGGGCCTCGGAGGGGCCAAGATGGGGCCGAAAGGGGCCTAGCCGCAGTGGTGGTTACCAGAAAAAGAGGGTGACTGTGATGCTGGCGTGCATGGCGACGGGCGAGAAGTTGAAGATGTGGGTGTTTTTCAAGCGCAAGACCCTCCCAAATGGTGACTTCCCGAACGGTAAGAAGCTGCGTATGCGCGTGTTCCCGAAGGGAAAAACAAAACTACAATCGAAGTACTTCTTGCTTGTATGCAGATGTCGTGGTTGGCTGCCAAGCTAACAGGTGGATGGAGGCCTCGGGCGTCATCGAGTGGCTCGGTGCAGGCGTGGTGCCGTTCCTGGAACCGAAGTTCGGATTGCAGAGCCAGAGCGCCATGCTGGTGCTCGACTCCTATCGTGGGCACCTGAAACCCGAAGTCAAGGCAAAGTTCGCGGAACTCAACATCGTGCCCGCGGTCATCCCGGCGGGATGCACGGCAGACTTGCAATCGCTGGATGTGTCGATCAACAAAAGCTTCAATGCAAGTGTTCGGCAGCAGTACCAGACCTGGTTCGAGCAGGACGGCATGAACCTCCTGACACCCGCAGGTACGCCAAGTGTTCTCCCGTGACCGCTTCGCTCACTTGTCTGCCCATTTGTGAACTTACGTGTTTCCCACCCCCGTGTATGTGGCGCAGGGAACATCAAGAAACCAGCTCCGGAGGTGGTGCTAAAGTGGATTTTACGGGCGTGGAAAGCTGTGCGCGTTGACATGATTAAGCATGCATTCCTCACTTGCAGCATCAGCAATGCCCTTGACGGGAGTGAAGACGGAGTGGTGCTGGCACACCGGAGAGGTGAGCTATTCCACGGGGTGGAGGTTGATGACGACATCCAAGCAGACAAGTTTTCCGGCAACAACTCCACTGAGCGTGAATCGGAAAAGGAGTAGACCTTAGGCTAGACTTATCTTGAAAATTGTGTGTAGGCTAAGATTCTAGTCTAATGTATTTGACTTGAAAAGATTAGTTGAACTTTTTAGCTAAAGAAAGGTAGTTTGTACGTAGGTTGTAAAGAAAGTGAAAAAAAACAACATATATTATTGTCTATACAGCAAGGGTGCGCTTATAATAAGTATCGTTTTTTTTAGAGGGTGCGCTTCTAATTGAGGATCCGCCATAAGCGCATTGCTGCAGATAGAAGTGCATGCGCTTAATATAGGCCTGCGATTATATCCCGGACGATACGGTACTTACCGCGCCCCGTTTGGCGCCTAGCAAATACTCATCCGGGCTAGTATTTTCCACTACATATGCACGATACATGCACGGAAAATCCATTGGAATGATTTTTTCGGGGTCCATGTTGTAACAATTCATTGCACCCAATATATGGATCACGGTAGCCCTAAACCGTGATCACGATACATCTGCACAATCCATGTTTTTTAGCCCTGCCCTAACGCTTCCCAGTAGCGCGGTAAGGATCAGTGTTTCAACTAAAAACAAAAACATTATTAGGGCAGCATGTGAATAACTTCAACACTGAGGTACCGTAAGCCCCCAGATAGAAGCGCAGGCCTCGGATAAGCGCGGGCGCTTATAAAATGATGAGGGCGCTAATATCCGGTCCTCGATTATAAGCGCACACGTGAACGCTTACGGATTATAAGCGCCACCCTCTTCTTTTGTATTATAATTTTACTGAAATCGTTGTAACGAAACTCAGCATTTTCATTCCCACATTTTGAATTTCGATGCCCCCTCATCCTCGCCTGGCTCACTGGCAACGCGTCTAGTCAGAATGAGCTGTCAAGGGCGCACGTTGACTCTTTCTGACTGTGTGTATTGGCAGGGAATCAATCCCTGCCAACTTGCACGCGAGATTCTCAATCACAGCCTTGTACAGTATAGTTTCACATTCTAATTGTGTCTGTTGGCAGGTGAACCCATATTTTTTGGCACACCTTCTTGCCTCGGCAGCGCGCACAGAATCAGCTGCGTCGGAATCAGCAGCGTTGGAATCACGTGCGTTGGTCGCGTGCGTGTCAACCCCGTTAGGTGGTCGCACCAAGGCTGCAAAACGAAATCAGTAGTACCACCGTCGCGCATCCCAAAACCAAACAACAATGGAGCGATTATGCGGCGCGTGGAGGGAGCGAGTCGGATTCCGCGACCGAAGTGTGCCGTTCCACGGAGGGAAGTGAGGGCAGTGGTCGCTGAAGCTGCAGTCAAGCCGCCTCGCAGAACATCCAAGGCCGCGCTGGCTGCCCTACCACGGCGCCCATGGCGGCCCTGACTGCTGCTCACATGGAAAATAGAAGAAAAAAAAAGGGGGGAAAAAAACGGAAAAAAAATCAAGGAGAACAAAAGTGATTAGTAAGAGTACTGTTTCCAGTATGGGAATGGGGTGGAAGGCAGGTACGCACAGGGAAGCACAGCAACGCGTAGAGAGCAGCGAGGGGGGAGGGAGTTGTGGAGGTGGGGTGGGTGTGGTGTGGATAGGGTGGGAACTTACGGTGGCACTACCTTTTTTTGCGCCCTGCTTCACAGCAGGGTGTTTGTGGGAGTGTGGGTGGGCAGTTGGCGGTTGGAGGGGGTGAGTCAAAGCTGTGGTGTGGTGCTGTGCTGAAAAAAGACTCTTGTGTGCTGCTGCTGTGCTTCGAGGACCACTCTGCTCTGCCGTGCTGCTGCTGTGCTCTCAATGCCACAACTCAACAATGGCTCCTGCAGGTCGTGCTATTGTGGGAAGAGTGCGGTATAGGAATACAGTAGGACACAAATAGGTGCTGCCAGAAACTAGGCTGGATCACATGCAACTCAGCTGCTGTAGGTGACAAATCCAGTGTACGTGCCTAGCTATCTAATATACAATATGCAATTGAACTTTCATTGCGCATGGCCTGTAGCAATTGGCATGACGAGGGAAGAGGAAGGGTGTTTGGCGATGCATTAGAGGCACACGGCACGAGGTGCATGCAGGCATGGCAGTTGAGGTTTTCCCATGAGGAGCTGGCACAATGGCTCGTGTAGCGACTGGTGAGGGGGATGTGAGCGTACAGGCGGTGCTCAGGTGCAGCAGCAAGTGACGGCACACCGCGGCCCAGCTCACGGCGTTGACTGCTGAGAGGGGACACGCCGTGGAGGGGCAAGTGGTGCGCGTGGGAGTGCGAACGGCGCGGTGGGAAGAGGGCGAGGGGGGGTGGGGGCATGCAGGGTGATGTGGGGAGTGGATGGCACAGCATGGAGATGGGGGATGGCGAGGAGGGAGGGGGGGGAGTGGGCAAGCGGTAGGAAGGAGGGGCTGAGGAGCAGCGCGTGTGGTGGCAGGGCGAGTGGTGGGCCCCGTAGAGACCACGCCTGCCTGCCTCCCCGCTCCCGCCCTCCCGGCACGCCGCCTGCACCCCTGCCGCTTGCAGCGCGGTAAAAGACAGGGAAGAAAGGTGGGGAAAGCAGGAAAAAGGGAGCAGAAAAAGGAGTGTGAAAGTAGGGGAAAGGAGGAGAAGGGCAGAAAGGAGGGTAAAGAAGGAGTGATGGAGAGGAATCGTGACGAAGGAGAGGGAAGGAGGGGGGCGGAGGCGGAAAGGAGAAAAAAAAGAGTGGCACGCCTGCCAGAGTGCCACGTGCAGCGCAGCATGGGGGGAGGGGGGCGCACGCGGGGGGGTAAGGGAGGGGGAAAAGGAGGGAAGAGTGATAATGGCAGGAAAGGGAAAGGAGGGCAAAAGGAGGGGAAAGGTGGAGGAAAGAGGCAGATGCGACACAAACGCAGGAGGGCGGAAGGGGTAAGGAGGGGGAAAGGAGGGGGAAAGGAGGGGGAGAGGAGGGGGAGAGGAGGGAGAGAGGCGTGGGAAAGGAGGGGGAGAGGAAGTTGATCAGACAGGAGAGGGGAAGCAGGGAAAATGGAAGGGGAAAGGAGAGAGAAAGGAGGGGGACATGGAGGCGGACAGGAGGCGGACAGGGGGGGGACACGGGGGGGACAAGGGGGGGAAAGGAAGGCAAAGGGATGAGGAAAGGCAGGGAAAATGATGTGGGATGAAAAGAGAGGAAATGTGCAACGGCGGCAGAAAGGAGCGGAGAGGAATGGGCAAAGGGAGAAATGAGCGAACGAGCGGAGAAGATGGGTTGCGAGAAAGGGAATGGGGGGGACGAAATGGGCGGAAGGGATGGGCGGAAAGAAATGGGCGGAAGGGATGGGCGGAAAGAAATGGGTGGGATGAGGATGATACTAACATATTGTGCGACCCGCGTTTGACCATCGCGAAAAAGGACTTGCCAGAAAACTGCGGGAAAGTTGCGAAAAGGATACTTTTTTGATACCTTGGTTTTGCAACTTTCCAGTGATGGTCAAATGTTGCAGAAATCGTGGTTGCGGGAAAGTTGCAAAAATGTTGCATTCCTGCAACTTTCCCGCAACACAACCGCAACTTATCGGACAATCTTTGGACACGTTGTGTATACATTTCAGTCACATGTATGCAGTTTCACCACCTACCACGTGGCATGCGTACAGTTTCGACTTCGAAATGAACGTACGCCGGTACGTTCGCGAATATATTTTGCCACGTCAGCCACGATATTTCTGCCACGTGTCATTCACGATATATGGACTCAGGCATGACACTTGGACCATTCAAACAAGATGTGCGAACGTGGGAAAATTGATTTTAACATGCCGCCGAATTGTCTGAAATCAGGGCATGCGTTTTAGTTACAGTTGTGTTTAGAAGTATTCAGTTTATACACTATATGTATTCTCTTGCACATTTGCATGCATACTTATCAGCACACACAGAGCACGATCTAGGCGAAAAAATAACACAGCTAATGCAACGACTACAGATCTTCAGGTCTCAATGGCAGATGAATATAGGGTGAAATCATGCTTCGTTTGCGGGCCTGCAAACAGAGATACGACATAGTGTTAGACATGGGTTAGTAGACAGTAATTGTTCCCTACCTCACTGACCTACCGCCCGCGGGCCTTGAATTGAACAGATAACATTGCCATGAACAAGATTGACAACTCTGCGAAATCCCTGCGAAAAAAAAATGTATATATATCTCGTGGCAGCCACTGACTCTGCAATGGTCTTGGTACCACACAGGAGAAGACAGCTAAACGTTAGCGTTAGAGGCTGGATGATATATAACTGGATACGAGCATGGGGAAGAAGCCACGGCGATTTAAGAGATTTACAAGCGGAAGCAAAGCGAGACCGAAGGCCTTCCTGCATGCACAGAGCGTGATGACGATCTGTGTATGAGGTGGATATGAAGCGGGAACATCAATGTAACTGATTAAAGTGGCAAGGTGCAGCGCAGTTTAATACAAGAGAAAATGTATCTGCATTCATTGCGGGAAGAACGAGAGGAAAACGAGAACTGAAGAAGCCTAACAAGTGCGAATAAATGACAAGTGAGGATCACAACAAGAGTGAGGAGAATCGTTTGTAAAAATAATCAAGCTTTCAGCGCATAACACGGCGCTTCCGCTGCCGGGCAACGCGCTTTACGGCGCACCGTTCGTAGATGGACGGGTGCTAAGTCCGCGGCGATTCGCGCGCAGAACGTCCTCTGCGTGGGGGGCGCAAATCGATGAGCTGTATATAGGACGGGAGGTAGAAAAGAAGGGGACAGATGCAGGCTGAGACGGTAGATCTGGACAGATAGTAGCTTGAATACATACTTCCTATACTATATTATTACACATACAGAAGGAAGAGCATACGGTATACGCTAGTTGATGCGTGAGGGGAAATTCAGAGGCACGATATGCAGGCTGGACTGGAAGAAAAAGCTGAGAAAGTTGAGTGACCAATGAGCTACGCAACTAGCGTGTTGTGTGAATACGAAAGAGAGATGCTTCTAGAGCTCCGAAGTGTGATGATGTGTGTTCACGGATGCCGTAGATTTCTGGTACTAGCATACATCGCACCAGTAATTGGATAGTAAAAAATCAGGTAGGTTCGGATAGCTCAATTCCGGTTACCTAAGGTGTGATCCGGGAAGCCACGTCACCAGAACAGAATCTGAACACTTACATTGATTGGGTGTGACATGGAACTGTATGCCAGCTGCCAGTTCCGATTCTGGGTTGTGCCTTCGCGAGCCTCGTCTGAAGTTGTATCCCATTTACTATGCTCGCCACGTTCGACAATGCCTGCCTGATTCGTGCTGTAGTGTTCATCGATCATACACCAGCAAAGGGGACTCCCGAGATTCGGTCGGACGAAAGTGTACTGTTCGGTGAAGATGTTTCAAGTTTGATGTGTGAAATTCGCGGCTCGGTAACCTCACGTATACAAAATTTGCGCCCCGACTAACCCACGTAGCTCATGTTCGCGGCTCGGAAGCCAGCTTGTATCTGAAATTTGTGCATGTTGCGGTTTCACTCAGTCCTTTTCGGATACTTTTCAAGTAGGTTTCTGCAACTTTCCTGCAGCTTTCAGACTTTAACTCGATTTTGAGCCAAACCCTTTTCCGCGATCACGGGCGGTGTTGGCGCGAGGGGCGAGTTGCGTAGAATGATGGCGGCCCGCGCGAGCGAGTAATGGTGGGCAGACGGGCAGCGCGCGCAACGAGACGCGCGGTGGCGAAGTAGGCGGGAGCGGCTAGTAGGGGCGGGGCGGGAATCAGAGATGGGTGTGTTGCGCGCGGGGATGGGCCGGCCCCCTCGCATCACTCCGTACCTCCCTCCCGCGCACCCCTCCACCACTCGTGGGGCCCGCCAATGGTGCTGCCGCGTGAACACGCGCATCTCGCCCGTTTCGTCAAGCGCGCAGCTGCCGCTTCAGTGGCGCCCACGCGGCTGCACGCGCGGCTGGCGGAACGGCGGTGGGCGCACGCAGGCGAGGCGAGCAGCAGCGACGCGCACGGCGCGATGTTGCTGGACCATGACTGGACAAAGTCGTACGAGCCATCGTGACAACCATCCATGCAGCGACCGTATTCGAGCGCCTTGCTACGCCGCTAAACCACCGCGCGCTCGCCATCCCTCCCAACCATACTCTTGCTCCACTCTATCGTCACTGCGCGACGTCGCTGCCGCTGGATCACGTGCACCAACCGTATCTGCCAACGAAACTGGCGCTCGTCTATCGTAACATCTAACCATGACATTCATTGTTAGTGTTGGGTGCAAACTCACATTGCACGACATCGTGCCGTCTGTTTGTATGAGTATGCGTGTGCGAATGCATTTGGGTGTGAATGGAATGTTGGTGTGTTTGTTTGCTTTCGCAATTTTCGCTTGAAGCATTTGTAGGTACTCGCGCATTATGCGCTTCGGCACAACATTGTACGCGCTATGAACAGTACAAGCAGAAAGGACGAGCTCGCAAAGGAACCCAAGATGGAAGCTTTGCAGTTCGGTTGAATTGATTGTGCAGATTCTGTTCTATCCAACTCGAAATTGTACTGTTTTGTTTGGTTGACTATAGTGTAGCAGGGCAGGCACTATAGGGGTACAATTTAGGTGAAGGTTGGATGTTGTTTGTCTGTATCTGCATGCTACAGGGCCAGGGGAAACCAGCGGAACCAGCATTTGGCTGGTTGGGCAAAGACAAAACAGGTTCTGTTTTTAGGACCTGAACCTGGTTGTTGTTTTCCCAGGTTGGAAAAACAGAACCAGAGGTTGTTTACCAACCTACCACCTGCTGTTTTGTCCAGCCAGGTTGGTTCTGTTGCTTGGAATTATTTGGGATCATCCCTGGTTCTTCCCAGGTTGATTCCCAAGGTCCTTGCTAGCTAGGACTATATATTCCTTCTCTGTTTGTACCTAGGGGGTTTGGCAGTGGGAGCAAAGATCTCATTGAAGTCCCGCTTCTCCTTCTGCCTAAACCCCTTAGCCACCAGCCTACTCTTGTAGATGGTGACCTGTCCCTTGTCATCGGTCTTGATCCTTAGCACCCACTTGCACTGTACGGCTTTCTTTCCCTCAGGCAGCACCACCAGCTCCCATGTCCCATTCTCTAGCAGGCTCTGGTACTCAGCATCCCTGGAAACCAGCCACTTCTCCCTATCTGGTCCAGCTAATGCCTCCTCCATGCTAGCTGGTTCCTCTGGTGCAGGGGCAAGAAAACAGTAGGCAGGTTTATCCTCCTCATCCAGAGCATAGCCATGCGGTAGAATCAGCAATGCCTCCTCGGTCCCAAGCTGCTGCTCCGCTACATCAGCTCCTGCCGTCAGCTTCTTAGTGGCCATACGGGTACGTCCTGGCCTGGAGACGGGTGTCTCCCATTCCCTCATTCAGGAACAAACAGAGAAGGAATATATAGTCCTAGCTAGCAAGGACCTTGGGAATCAACCTGGGAAGAACCAGGGATGATCCCAAATAATTCCAAGCAACAGAACCAACCTGGCTGGACAAAACAGCAGGTGGTAGGTTGGTAAACAACCTCTGGTTCTGTTTTTCCAACCTGGGAAAACAACAACCAGGTTCAGGTCCTAAAAACAGAACCTGTTTTGTCTTTGCCCAACCAGCCAAATGCTGGTTCCGCTGGTTTCCCCTGGCCCTGTAGCATGCAGATACAGACAAACAACATCCAACCTTCACCTAAATTGTACCTCTATATTGCCTGCCCTGCTACACTATAGTCAACCAAACAAAACAGTACAATTTCGAGTTGGATAGAACTGAATCTGCACAATCAATTCAACCGAACTGCAAAGCTTCCATCTTGGGTTCCTTTGCGAGCTCGTCCTTTCTGCTTGTACTGTTCATAGCGCGTACAATGTTGTGCCGAAGCGCATAATGCGCGAGTACCTGCAAATGCTTCAAGCGAAAATTGCGAAAGCAAACAAACACACCAACATTCCATTCACACCCAAATGCATTCGCACACGCATACTCATACAAACAGACGGCAGGATGTCGTGCAATGTGAATTTGCACCAAACACACTCCGCCTCAGCCTGCCGGCTGCATCCCCATCATTCCATACTAGTTCATGCTCATTCCACTCATCCGCACACAACGCCAATGAGGCTCATCCGCAAGCCTTTTGGTGAGGAAGTCTGCTGGCTGCTGGTGAGTCTTGATGTAGATCGGATTCACCGTCCCCCTCTTCACCTCCTTACGCAGCCAGTGCCACTTGATACGCATGTGCTTATTCAGCCCATGAAGCACAGCGTTCCTGGCCATCCCAAGAGCTCCCTTGCTATCACAAAACAGCGGCGTAGCAACCTTTTGCTCCTGGCCAATCTCCTCTAACAGCCTCCTCAGCCAAATCACCTCCTTCACCCCATGGAACATCGCCATGTACTCTGATTCCACAGAAGAGAGTGCTGTCTCCGTCTGCTTCTTTGACCTCCAACTAACAGGTCCTCCTCCAACTACGCAGATGTATCCTCTCACAGATGAGGAATCCTCCTTCTCAGAGGCCCACGTAGCATCGGAAAGAAAGTGAGAAAAAGCTTGCCTTCTCCAAGCCTCTCCCCCTTCTCTTTCAGCACCTCAACCCCTTTCTGCTTCACCTGTGCAGATGTGGAGTATTGAACTCCAATGCTAAGTTGAAAGTTCAGATACTTCACCACACGCTCAGCTGCATCCATCTGCTCCTCTGATGGATTCTGCACCACCCTAGCCAGCTGCCCAACTGAGAAAGAGATAACGGGCCTCGTGTAAACTGCTGCATACAAGAGGCTGCCCACCAAGGACTGAAATTGCTGCTGCTCCTTGGCTTCAACCCCTTCATCCTCTGCAGCTTTCACAAGCTTGAATTCTGCTGGCAGGGGAGTTGCAACCTTGCGCTCATTCTCAATTCCGTACTTCTCCCCAAGCTCCTTGATGAACTTCTCCTGGTGCAGCTTCAACCACCTTTGATCCAGATCCCTCTCCACGTGCATCCCGAGGTAGTACTTTACCTCCCCAAGGTTCTTGCACTTGAAGTTCTCCATCAGCTGCTGCTGCACCTTCTGGATCTCCTTCATGCTGCTGCTAAAGAGAAGAATGTCGTCCACATAGACCAGAAACAGCACCAGCTTCTCCCCCTCCCCCTTAAGAAAGAGGCTCTCATCACAGCTGCTGGTCCTGAATCCCACCTCCTCTAAAACAGCTGCCAACTTCTGGTACCAGCAGTGTGGCGCCTGCTTCAAACCGTAGATGGACTTTTTCAGCTTGCACACCCTGCCCGTACCATCCTCATACCCAGGTGGCTGCGTCAT